CAAAGTACAGACTATGAAAGCACACAGGTTAATCCTGCATTTGCCTCCAATCCATAATCAAAATATGAATGACAAACAACTTATTTTTAGTTCCACACATTCATCTAGAAGAGAGATAAGGTGTCAGTGCACTTTATTCTAAGCTTATTTTACAATCCTCAGGAAGACAAGTCTCACCAAAAGGTGATTTAGCAGATCCTAAAATAAGTCATCAACCATAAAAGGAGCTGAGGGTAAGTAGCTTAGTTGTCTCAAGATAAGCAAGATGAATTCCACCCTAACTATACTAGCATCAGAGTTAATCATTGTTATTACACGGCCTAATCAAGCACGGAGATGCACTGTGCCAGGATCCTGCCCTGAAGAGTTTACAGCCTGAACAGTCCAGGCAGGTGAAGGAGAGAGAACGAGGGGAATACATTAACATATAAGCAACTTGGTGGAAGTATGACAGAGCCATCTTTTGGGAGAACTGCTTCTTAAAATAAGATGTGATTATTCTGTGTATTATTACCCAGTTCCTCCCATCTCTGAATAAAACCAACCCAACAAACCAAGAGGATACTCCTCAGAAGCAGAAGGAGAAGAGAAGTGACTACAGAGCTAGGAAGCGAAACATGCAGAACAGTTCCTTAGAGAACGGTGAAGAGGGGAACCAAGACTGGTCTTAAGAACTGTCCAGAACCAGGACATTTGCCAAGCTCTGTAGAAATAGTCACCACACTAATTCCAAGAAAATGTTTAAAGGTTATGACGCAGAGCACTCACAGTATCAGTGGAGGAAGAAAAGATAGTCAAATCAGGTTTTCTTGACAAAGTGGCAAGCACAACACAGAAGGAATCTGAAAATATTTTTTTAAAGAAGTGTTTTAAGACTAAGTTTTCATTACTGTGATTGTAAGTGCAAACAGGAATCACATCCAATGAACCAACATTCACTTAAGATTTAACATGGTATTTGAGAACCTGCAAAAGCACAGAGGGGGAAAAAAGTAAAAAAGTAATTAAAATAACAATGAAAATGATGGTAAGAAGCAGACTTAAAGAGTTAAGTCAGCTTCATAATATGATTTGTACTCTATTTTCCTTTGCTTATTATTACTTTCAAACTACAATCAAGTTATTGTCATTACACTGAATGATGGAAACCTTGCCAGCTACTTCAAAACTGACACGTTTTCTGTTGCACTGAACATTCCCAGAAGACATTTCCCCTCATTTTAATACAAAATCCTGTCAGATCCACAGACCTGAATAAAAAAATTGTGTAAAGGAGGATATGTAGCTGTAACAGACCTCCCCCAACTAGTCAACTTTGGAATAAAAGATGATCAAAAAAGACTCAAAGATCCAGTGCTAGATTAATGCAAATATCTGTCTGTTTGCAAGTGTACTTTTTGATTAAACTGGCATACATCAAGTACAATTAGAAAGGTTATTTATAACTAAGAAATACATAATTCTGCATTTTAATGAGGGTGACAATTACAGCCAACAGTTGCTAATTAACATTAATCCTTTTGCACTGCAATTCAGAATTTCCCAATATGATTTTCATTGTCAGCAACGGACACACCAAAACTGTTATCACAAAGCAGCTATTAGGTAGGCTGCTTTGACACAAATAGGTGTTCCTGTAATATGCAGTAAAGAAAAAGAAGCTGATGATGTGTTAAATTTGATAACCTCAGATGTAAATATAGAATGTCATTTCAAAATTTACTTGATGTCTACAACATGAAATATAATCAAGGCTTATCGTTTTCATGGCTGAACCCAATTCCAAGTTTCCCAAGAGCCAGGCTTCAAAGGTGAAATCTGATTTCGACACAAACTTGAAATCTCCCATAGTTAAATTTGGTTTTGGTCGCCGTTCTGGGTTCACATCTGCATTTCACCCCTGGGACTTCAAAGCTTTTAGTGGTTGTAAAAAGCATAAATAAGGAGCAGTGTTTGTCCAGTTGGTATCAGTTTCTGAAGCAAAACTCCAGACCAAGTACTGAAGATAGGAATGACTATTACTCACTGATTTCCTACCGTAGTATAGCCTTATTGCAATTTTTTTTCTAACGTAGAGTATCAAGAAAATTTTGGTTCTCAAAACCACTGAATTTTAAATCCTAATCTTCCAAAATTCCTCTTACATATTTCTATTCATTGATTAAGAATTTCTCTTTAAAACAAATGCCAAGTCTATAAAACTGTTGACCTAATTAAACACTTCTATTTCTGATAGCCACAATCTAAAAGAGATATGATTTAGATTTGTTATGTATGTCTTTCCAAAAGAGAAGTTATCTCTGTTTTAGCCTCTCAGCCATCGTCTTTTCAGAGAGAAGCACTAGAAAACTACCTAACTGTGTCTTTTCATACTGGTCTTTAACAGGAAGAGAGACCTGATCCAAACACCATCAGAGGCACAAGATAATAATGCAGCCAGTAAATAAAGTCTCTGAAGAGTGCTGAGATGCACACCATCTGGGTCAGGCAATTGGAGTGGGATCAATGTCAGATATAAGTAAATGAGAAGGCAGAAAAGGAGAATTGTGAGCACTAAGCAAAGAAACCTATAATGCACTTCTTACAAAGCGCTGTAAAATTCACATTTATTTTGTAAGTATGAGATAGATGGGTTATTTCTACATACAGAGGTGCCCAACTAAAATCAAGATAAGTGATATTAATGTCCTATGGTCAGTATTATTGAACCTCGAAAGCAATAAACTATGAGTCGATAAATATTACATTTGCAACATAGTTAACATTCTTCTACTGTCTCTGGCACTTATTACACATTGTAACCGCAAGTCTACAATACATTATTCATATTTGGGGTGTCACTGAGTGATGGATTGCTGTAAGAGAGGCTGTCCTTTAAATAAATCAACAAATAAAAATGCAAATGTTAACATTTTCAGCCACAACTTTTTCCATCTTGAATGGGGAATGAAAATTTCACATTATATCGACAGCCAGCAGAGAGAACAATTAACAACCTACACTGTGAATAAGAGAGATTAATTTGCCAGCGTCTGGTTTTATCACTTGCATGTGGAACTATATTGGACTTTTTGTGCTGCTGGCTTTCTCAGGGAGTAGGCAAAACTTGCATCTCCTACCACGTTCAGCACCTAACTCACCACCCCACTCCAAACAGACTTTTAAACCCTTTAAATGTTCCTAAGTTAGACCTGGAATGAAATTTTTCTCCTCGTCCTCCTTTTTAATCTTAAACAGTGTCTGATACGAAGGGGAAAAATGAAATAAATCTATTTCTTTGGCACTGCTTGCTTAGACTATACAGTAAAAGGAACTTCATCGTATTGTCTAAGAGCAGAACCATATTTAAGCATCCAACATGCACAGATCTGAAAGGCAACTACTGCATAAGTAAGGCAAAAGCTTAAATCTCATCACTGTCATATTTCCTAACACTCAGCATAACAGATCTACTCTAGACTATTCCAGTGTGCATTATTAAGCATACAACTCTGCACATTACATTTTACATCAGATATTAATTTGCTTAAAAGTCCCTGAATACACATTCACCTGAGATGTGCTGGGCAATTGGGTAAATAGTTTTGTTTTTAAAATGTCCCTAAACACAAATTTACACAATACAATCTGTTTATAAAAACTCCAACAGGCCACTGTAGTCTAACAGATAATAATATAGCTCGAATATAGTATTCATATTGCAAAAACTTCTAAATCACTTATTTTAATGGCTACAAGAAACTTCACTCCAAGACAACGCATTCAGCTAGCATTAAAGCTCTGATTTAAAACTGCAACAAGAAAACACAGGCTTAATGTTGAAATCCCAGACTATCACTCAATCCCTTAATTTACCTAACTGTTCTTAAATTCACTTCTTAGATGCCCAAAGTGAAAAATGTTACAGAAGAATTATCTGTTTCCATGGTAAGCAGAACAACCTTTGCTTGTGTCTTTTTAAGTGCTTGATTATCTGCAGTGTTATAGGACTTACTGTGCCAAACTCAACACTACAACTGTTTCTGCGTGGGGAGAGCCTGACAACTGCACCAGGGCTGTAATCAAATTAAACGGTCTTTCACAAGGCACAATTTACAACACTTAAAAAAAAAAAAAAGGAATAGCTTAATACTTTGATTTAGAGAAGTTTCATTTCTGTTTTGCAACACACCACTTATTTTGCTGAAATCAGTACCTGATTATACCTAAGGTAAGATCTAGTTTATGTAAAAACTTCTTCATTACTTAATGAAAGAGTATGAACACCACTACCTCCCCTTTCCAGCTCCCTTCCAGCTCACAGCCAAAACCCGGAGTCTTTCTTCTAGACAAACAACAGTTCTGAAAAAGATGTCCATTGCCACCGAAAGAGTAATGTTTAAGATAGCCAGAGGAACTATGCTTTAGGGGGTAAGGAACAAACTTACTCTTCCGAATTTGCCCAGCCCCAATCTTGCTTGTGAATTTTTTTCCAAATGTATCAACTTTGGTCTAGATAAATAAGCACATGGAGTAGAAAAGCTTTCCAGACCTACTGAGAACATAATTTCAAGGGCCTCACTCAGGTGTAGACACTTGGCTTAAGAACATTGGATAACCAAACATGCAATGCTTGGCTGTATTACAAAAGCAGCGACAGGCATGCATAGAAGCACGATGGGCAAACAAATCCACTATTAGCCCAAATCAGGATGCCAGATAAAGAAATGTTCTTTTTCTTTCAGAGGTATCACTGAAAACACCTTGTGCACATTCATTCTGCAAAGTCTGGTCCTTCCACAGGTCTGGCACTAACGTTCTCAAAGCACACGCCTTTACCTTCTAGGGACACTTATTTCTTGTCCCAGATGTGTTTCTTTTCAAGAAGAAAGTAGGACTGCAGCAATTCTTCCTCAAGCAGGAGGAGCTGTAAAATACACTGAAGCCTCCGGCTGAGCCCTGCCAAGACAGGCTATCAAGCCAACACATCTTCTACCTGCCATGCCTGCTTATCCAGCCAGCCCTCCCCAGAAGCTGCGCTAGCACCCTGATGCCTGGCGCTGGCAGGGAGCTTCTGTTGCTTTCCAACACCTTCTCTCTGGCAGGCTTTCCATTGCTGCTACTGCCGGGTGCCAGGGTTTGTGCTAGTTGAAGCTGGCACAAACATGAGTTGAATCTAGTCCTATAAATTTAAATAGTCAAAAGTAATTAGGTTTACATGTACTGCCGAATAAATAAATTTGCTTTTAGGCTAGGGCTTTGTGCTGCAAGTTTCAGGCCCATGCCAACTGTTGTGGTTAAGCTGTTAACCCCCCCCAAATCACAGATTATAACGAACATGCTGACAAACCCTAACTTTAGTGGCACAAAAGCAGCAATAATTCTCAATATTGATTAATTTAGTTAGTTAAACCTGCAGTCTAAGCTTATAACCATTCAGTGATAAATTGAGACTGACCTGCTGCCCAAGCAGGTTTTTTGATGAAGGATAGGATCAGCTTTAGGTCTCCACAGAAATACTTGTCCATTTACCATTTTCAATTAGAGAAGGCCATGAGTAAGGGAAAGCACAACATGTCTGCTTAAACTGGTCAATTATACTTACAGCACCAACGGAAAGAAAGCAAGCGAGGAAGCATGGGAGAGAGCACCCCAGAAATAGAGGATTTTTCAAAATTTGTCATCAATTGGTAAAATCAACCTTTAATGATGACAGCTAATCAGTCTCCTTTTACTGATCACTTTATCTGATATGATTTCTAACACCATATTTCAACAATTATTTTACTCCCCTCTGTGGAAAAGAATGGACCATCAATTCTCTTTAATAAAATTCCTTTTTCAGAGCAGTTGTTGTATGATGTGAATAATTACATCTACTCCTTGTGCTTGAATAGAATCTCAACTTATCACTATTACACCATATCAAGCAGTATCTTTATCTGATATTACCGGCTTGCAAAGGTAACCTGCACTTCTAAGAGAAATGGTTAGGCAATCTTGTGGTTTCTGCTTGTTTAAACATAGTGACCTGTGGGAAACAGAGCCCACTCTATCTCAGTTCTTAAATCCTCCCAGAATTTCATCCCTTCCTTCAGAAGAAAAAAACAGTGTTTCTATAGCAAGTAACTACAAATTTGTCAATATTGATAGTGGTTTTTTCACCTATTATATATCACAAGTTCTCTCAGAAGATAGAAATAAACTGCCAGCTGCTGCCAAGAATACAAGGATGATATCAAGCATAGGTTTTCCTAGTCCACTGGGCCAAGAGAAGATTAAATCTGACTCAGCCCTCTCGTTGTCCAAGAAACATTTAACTCTTCTTATGAACAGCTATACATTCTTGTCATCCCACTGCACAAAGTCATCTAACAAGTGGTGTAAAATACAACAAAATCGTACTTTAATCTGCATTTATTTTGTTACTTAACTAAAGATTTTGTTATGAGAACATGTGGGATATGATAAAGAAAAGCAAGGATTGTATGTTGGTTTTCTAGGCACTTACTGCTAGAATTGTAATCCTGCCTAAAGAAGGCAAGTTGTTTTTAGACTCCTAAGTCTAACAACAATGCTGCTTTCTGTTTCTCCATTGGAGCATAAGTGATAATGCTGCTTTTCCAGTGCATTTAGTGCAGATATATAGTACAATCAGGAACTGCTGACTTAATGTGATTTTGTTGCTTGTCATTAAACATAAAGTAACTCCAGTACAAAACATTTTAAAAGAAATGTCATTTGATAAAATGGAGGGGGAGGGGAGCAAATACAGGGGGATTAAAATCTTCAAGTGGATTTAAAACCTAACAGGGGTTCACACCATCCATTCAAATTATTTACAAATGTATTTAATGTGTCAGGACTTCAAACATAAAATACTTTCTGTTCAAAATCTAAGTAACGTTAAAATGTTAGAACTTGGCATATTCCCACTTTTCTTATTCTAACAAGCAATTTAAGGCTTACTATAAATGTCAAAAGGATATGGTAGTTTTTAGTTTATATTATCCAGCTCGTGCTAATATGAAATATCATAGAAATTCAGCCACTTCCCTGCATCTAGGAGAATTTGATGGTTGTGTTTGCAGAATCTTAAACCAGAGATTACCTAGGGGCTTACCGTGAAGTGTCATGCTGGATTGGTGATGTGGCTGTGGTTGCAAGGTCTTTGCTGCTGCCTATCAGCACAGGAGATGTGGCTGCGTCCTTCCTAGGTCCTGAAGTTGTCCCTGTGGAATGAAGACAAGCCGGATATCAGAAGCTAGTAAGTTTTGGACAGATGTTTCATCATTCTGTGTTATTACAGGACACTGGGACTAAAAGTTGCAACATTTTTGGAGTGCCATATATATATACAGTGAAATGGCAAAGAACTCATCAGTTGACAATACTGCATAGCATGCATTTCGGGATCATGTAGAATCCAATCTGTAGAATAAGTCCACTCTACAGCTTCCATCTTACTGCCCAAAGTTTGACAGACTTGCACTGTGATCATTTCTTAGAGCGGTCCACAAGATTCAGCTTGTTTTAGATGCAGGTCTCATGGCACGCCAGTCATGAAGATTTTAGTTTTCCAAGTGTATATATCACTATAACAGTATTTTGCTTTCACAAAAATAGAACTGTTAGTCCATTCCTTCTTCTCCCTCAATAACTCTTGAATTACAAAATAATCTAGGTGGAAGGGTAAAGTTTGGAGGTCATGTATTCCAATCCTCCATTCAAAACAGGCCCAACAAGATGAGGTTTCAGGCACTTGTCCAGTTAAGTTTTGAATGTCTCCACTGATAGTAAACCAACCGCTCTGAGCAACTTCCTGGTTCCAGTGTTTGACCACCCTCTCCATGAAAAATGTTTTCTGTATTGATAATCAGAATTTCCTGAGTTGTAATTTTTTCCCATTGTCTCTTGCTCTGTTGCTGATGACTTCCAAGAACAGTCTCATTCCCTCTCTCTACACCCTCTCCTTAGGTACCTGAAGAAAGCAGGAAGATCTGTGCTGAATCATCTCTTCTTAAGGCTGAACGCACACAGCTTTCTCAGCCTCTCCCAGTAGGCCACATACACCAGCCCCCCAACTGTCCTGGTTGCCTCTGCTAGACTTCCTACATTTTGTCAGTGTTCTCCTTCCCCTGCGGAGTCCCAAACTGGACGTAGCACTCTACAAATACAGTCTCACCAGAGCTGATCAGAGAGGAAGCGTCACTTGATCAACCCGATAACCACAATTTTGCTATTATGGCCCAGTATGAGGCTTCGTTACTACATCACACACTGCTGACTCATGTTCAACTTGCTGTTCAGCAGAACACCCAGTTCTT